GGGGGGGGGCGGGTTGGCAGTGCGGAGGGCGATGCTGGAGCGGGGGCCACGGGAGGAAGTCCGCCTGGGGCGCTGGGTGCTCCCGGGAGGGGTGTCGGTCGAACTGGATGGTCGGACCGGCGGACCCAGGAGGGGGTCACCTCTCACCGGGCCCCGCCTTTGCACCGCACGCCGCTTTCACAGCCTTTCCTTGAGAACAGGAGGAAGCCCTAGACCTCCACTCTTGCTCCCCAGCCACCCCGCCTCTTCAAGCCCGCGTTGAGTGGAGGCGGGTGCGGAAGGGAGATTAGACAGCAAGAGAAACCTCTTGATGGCCTGCGCTCAAGCGCTCACTCGTGTCAGCGAGCGATAGAATGGAGGCTGCTGACTTCCAAGAGATTGAGGGGTCAGAATTCGCTGCAGCCGGGCCTCACGTATCCGCGGGTACCTGCCTCACGTTGCTTCCCCAACTTGGCGGGGCCAGAAGGGGTGGGAGAGCCAGCTGCAGGTGAGATGGCGTTTATCTGATTCTCTAATGCCACAAAAATGTCTTTGATGCCCCTGGCGCCCTCCCCACGGGGCGGGGGGAGGTCAAAGGCTCCGTGGGAAGGAGGGACAGCTCCATTCATCACCGCAAGCGCACTGGCAGCGGCCGCACTCCCTGCTCCTTCCCTCCAGCCCCATGTGCCCCAGGAGTGCTGAGGGACAAGTGGTGCAGGACATTGCACAGCAAGGGCCTGTCTTGGTACCACCACATCACCTAAAGTGGCCATCAACCTTTAGGGTGTACTGGGGTAGGCAGGACATATCTAGGACCTCAAGCCCCCCGGTGTAGATACCTCAGGCTCCCAGAGGAAAACTCCTAGTGGTTTGAGTGGGGGAACTCCTTAACTTGGTGAATGAGGCCACTTCCAAGAAAGATAAACTCTCCTGGTGAGCAGAGAGAAGGCAAGATTCTAATTCCCCCAGAGAGCAAGGAAAAGTGGGTCAAGGTGAGACGGAATCAAGGGGACATAACAAAAGACCATAGGTATCTACCCCCGCGGGAGGAGGCAGATCTGGGAAAGGAAAGGTGAGCAAGTGGAGAAAAGAAATGGAGATACGTTAGCCTGGGCACTTAGGGAAGCCCCTGGGTTTGCTGGGAGTCCCACACCAGGGCCCTGGTGTCCAAGATGTGTCAGCCTAATCCCTGGGTACAGAGAGTTCTGGTGAGGAGCTGGGGCACTCTAGAGAAGGAGAATGGACCGTGGGGGTGGGGTGCTGGTGGCTGAAGGAGATAGTGAGGAGGGCAAGTGATGATCCAAGTGCTGCCCCTTTCAATTTTAACCATTCATAGCATCCAGATGCCACCCACAGCCCCAGCATCTATTAATTTTGTGCACTGTTGCTATTTCTGCAGGGCAATGTCAACTCTGGGCACTGCACACTCAAAGACATGCCCAGGTTGGGCACATACTCAGGCCAGATGGTGCTGAACAGGAGGCTGGGGGCTCTGTGGGGGTCCCAGGAGGCTGCAGGTGGCCAATGACCAGCCCCTCCCCCCAGCCACTGCCTGGGTTCCGAACCCCCTGCCCCCACCCTGCTACTGTTATTGCAGATTATGAAATGCTCTCCCTATCCTGCATTCTTCTCCGAGGCAAGAATTTTAATGTATTTGTCTTTGTCATCAGGGGACCAGGGCTCTGGGACCGCCCTGCCTCTGCCTGAGGAGGGAGCGCCCCAAGTCTAGTCCTGGCTGCCTCCAGACCCCAGCCTCTCTCCATTACCACCCCCTCATGCCCTATCCCTACCCCTCACCTCCCCCTCCTAAGACACAGTCTCTCGGTGGGGTGGATAAAAATGATGTTATTGAAACAACAGAATTGGGAGCAGTGGCAGGGAGCAGGGATCAGCTCAGGAAACTGGGGTGTTTGCCAAGAAGCCTTCTCCCCCGCAGGCGGCCTTTCTGCCCCCACCCCCCACCTTTCCTACAAACACACACAGATCGCCCCACCCCTCCCACAGTACTCTCTCTGGTCAGATCTTGCAGAATATTTGGCCATCCCTGGACTCTCCAATCCCTTGTCCTCTCCTTCCATCCCAGAGTCCCATTCTGGAATCAGTTGGCCCAGTGGTACCTGCAGAAGCACTGGGGCAGGGAAGGTGTAGGCTGTCTTCTGTGATAGGCCTCCCAAACTCTCAATTCCCAGTGCCTGCGTTCCAAGGGCAACGTTGCTTCTGCTCCCTCCCCTGTGTCTGCTCTGCACCCCCATCTAGGAGTTGACTGCATCTGGGCAGAGCCAGAGCAATGATTTCTGCCCTTATACCCTTCAAACCTTCAGAGAGAGATGAGTTCCGAAATTTCTGAGGATTCAATCCACCATCACCTTAGAAGACTGCACGGAGCAGGACTGGGAGACCAGGAGATAGAGACAGAGGCACATAAAGACAGTTCAAGGTGCATGCACACACATGCATACTCACCCCTACACACACACACACACACACACACACACACACACACACACACACACACACCTTGGCACAGGCTTCCAGTTAACCCCACAGAAACCATAGGACACCCTCACCTCCTTCAGACAATGCTGAATAACTTTCACCCACAGGTATGGATGGACACACAGATAGGCTGGCTCAGGGTGAGTCTCATGCCTGCCTGCCTGGAGAACAAATGCACACGCATACACATCACCCCTGCTCAGACATGCATGTAGAGGAACGGTCAGAGGAGATTAGAATGGAAACACAGCAGCCCAGACTTAGGCAGTGTGAATGGAGTGGTGCCACTCTAATCCTTCTCTCTCTCTGTCCTCTGGGCACTGAGCCCCCTCCACTCTTCCCCCATCTCTCTGCCTTAAGTCCTGCGAACCTGTTAACTACACTTCTAGGCCCTGGTTCAAAAGAGAGGTGAGAAGGAGAGACATGGGTGTCTGGCTATGGAGTTGTAGAGGAAGGAGGGGCAGAGATGGGGACTGCGGAGGGGGAGAGAGGCAGCTGGAGAAAGATAACATCAGAATCGCTGCAGGCACAAGCAGAGCTCTCTGTCCTTGTCGGATTCTCTCTCTCTCTCTTGCTGTCTTTCTGTGTGTCTTTTCACGTCTCTTCCATCTCCATAATTTGGTCTCTATTTGTGTCTCTCTCTAAATCAATTTCTCTGTTTCTTTGTTTCTCAAAGTGACTGAAACTGCAGGAGCCCAGGAATTTGGGCCTGTGACCCTTCCCATCTCTCCCTCCTTCCCTCCCTGCTGCCCTCCCGCCCTCCTTCCCCAGCAATGGAACCTAATTCTCAATCCTTTAGGATGGTGACAGGACTTGAGAATTCCTAAGGGCCCTGGGTCGCTGGGTCTCAGTGGAACAGAGGAAAGGCCAACCCTCTAGAGAGATGGAGGGAAGGAAAAAAAGAAAAAAGAGAAAAATCACTTTCCTCTCCCTTCTGTATCCCAGATCCCTCTACTCCAGCTTTTCCCAGCCCACCTGAAGTCAGGAGAATGTGCCTTCCCAGCTGAGATGGTGGGAACTCCAATGTCCCAGTTTTAGCCAGCCTTGTCCCTGCCTTGCAGGCCAAATTTCCTGAGACTCCCTCTGGGCCTTTGTGTAAGGGAACCCCCACCCCAGGCCCCAGTTCCCCACAAAGCCCACCTGCCTCCCATCTTCCAATCTCTCAACCCTCTCCATGCCCCCAAAGTTCCAATCACCCCATTAGTCAAAGGGAGAAAGAAGGGGGGGGTGCAGGGAGAACTCAAATGAGGGGGTGGGAGAAGAAGGGGCTGAGAGGGAGGGGCTGCTGGCCCACCAGGACTAGGCTGGGGAAAGCCAGAGAACATTTGTTTTCACTTAGCTCAGCCCCAGTGACCCCCAAATGGAAGTGATAGGACCCAGGAGCCTCTCCAGCCATCCCAATTCAGGCCTGGCTCCTGACTTAAGATGGTGGGTGGGCAGAAGGACCCTGGTATGTCCTTGGGTCTTCTGGGCGGAGCCCCTACCCGCATCTCTTCTCACTGCTCCATTTTTGATACCACCTATCCCTGCTGTGTCATCTCTCACCTCTGAGGGATGCCCGGCTCCTCAGTCCAGGTCTGCAAGCCTCAGACTCCCTCCTGTTGGCGTCTGCTGGCTATCTATCCCTGAGCAGCAGCCAGCAAATTTTTAATCGAACACTTACTATGTGCCAGGCACCCTGCTAGATAGTGGAGAAAAAACAATGGTGAGCAAAAGCAGACATAACCCCTACCCTCATGGAGCTGATGGTCATTAATCATATCATCTCACAAACAATTGGAAAACCACAACCTTGACCTGTGCTATGGAGAAGGGAGGGGGCTGTGAGAGGGTCTGGTGGGGGGACTGGCCAGGTCAGGAAAAGTGAGAAGTCTTCCCTGAGAAGGGAATGTTCTGAGAGAGATATGAAAATCAGTTGGGGTTAGCTGGGGGACACAGGGAGGGAAGAACATTTCAGGCGGAGGGAACAGCCTTTGTAAA